CCCCGTTGTATTGAGAACACACCGTTGTGTTTGTCAACTCTCTTCAAGTTCAGGATGCATGCAGAGGCCGGTGAAGGGACCGAGATCATGGGATTTAGAGTGCAGTGCATTAGGCGCCTCTCTCCCGCACCTCCGATTAGCACGCTTGGCTACATACAATGCGAAAGAGGTTCAAAATACATATGCATACACACTCCCACATTTTCTGACACACTTTCCTATAGAGAGGCATACATTGCTAAGCTATAGTTAAACCAAATATCGCCTTTTTGGCACCATGAAAATTACTTGTGCATGCCGAATTACAGTTTGTCTAAGTGGATGTGCAAATTATTTAAACAAAGCTATTAACTATGTATGTTGCATCTACATCGCTTCATGAGGCCAGTCACTTCTAGATATGTGGTGTTTTATATAGGGATCGTTACGGGGAAAGAGGGCCGCAACTGCTCCAGATTTAATGATGTCTGAGGCTACTTGTCTGCGGTTAGCAAGTCGGGGCCAGAGAGGAAGTGCAGTTTCTAAAGTGTTTACATTCGTCTGCACAAGTTTCACACGGCAGTAACTTTTTCTGTAACCATCCCCGGAAGGCCCTCCCCAATGCCATCGTCACGCATGATTTTTTTAACTCTGCGCCACTTTTTTCATTTCTCAGCGATTTTAATATTAGGCGATTTGTTCCACGCCGTAAAATGTCCACCCCGTGAAGGGGTTTAACGGCGTCAATCTCAGGTGCCGTGCGCTTGCGCCGCCGCCTGTCGCGGCCCTTGCATTTGTCGCGGACTCAGCCGGCATGCCAAGCCCGCTCTGTGGCACTCTCGGTTTGACAGACGAGCGCTGCTCCTCCGAGCGTGATGCAACACACAGATCGGTCGCGTGTAACTCACTTCACGTTTCCAATTTTCTACTTCCTTCGCCCGCCTTTGCCAATCTGTATAATCATATATTAGGTTCTTTCGGTAAAGTCACGTAGAAGGGAAATAATAAAATGATAAAAATAAAACATAATTAAATAAAATTCTCACGACGTTTCGGCCACAACACAAGCAGCTGTCCTCATGTGAAGAAACAGAGCTGTCGGAAAGACAGCACTCCAATGAACACTGCTAAGCTTGGCAGCGTATTTAAGCTGGGTGGGAGGAGCAGAGCGCCTTGACAAAGGAGTTTGCATATCAACAGAGGAATTTAGCATAGAAGTAGCTATGATAATGTGAGAGATTAACATGATGTTAATGTGAGGAATTAGCATGTAACTGGTCATGGAAGTGGCTATGTTAAAGTCAGAGTTTACATATCAACAAAGGAATTTAGTATATTGACGCTAAAGAACTGCAACTACCCAACTATCATACAATAAACCTACGTGAAATAACTAAATATAAATTACATCAATATAATCCATGTACTCAATATACTCTCCAATAAACGGAGCTATTAACATTAAGTAACTCACTGTATAATCATAGTTTGGATAAAAATCAAGTCTCCAATGTATTAGTCTATTCCAATGTATTATTCTCTGCTTAAAATTTGCTCGGTGAGCTTCTGTTTTGTATATATACAATAAGGGAAAAAAGTATTTGATCCCCTGCGGATTTTGTACGTTTGCCCACTGACAAAGAAATGATCAGTCTATAATTTTAATGGTAGGTTAATTTGAACAGTGAGAGACAGAATAACAACAACAAAATCGAGAAAAACGCATGCCAAAAATGTTATAAATTGATTTGCATTTTAATGAGGGAAATAAGTATTTGACCCCTCTGCAAAACATGACTTAGTACTTGGTGGCAAACCCCTTGTTGGCAATCACAGAGGTCAGACGTTTCTTGTAGTTGGCCACCAGGTTTGCACACATCTCAGGAGGGATTTTGTCCCACTCCTCTTTGCAGATCTTCTCCAAGTCATTAAGGTTTCGAGGCTGACGTTTGGCAACTCGAACCTTCAGCTCCCTCCACAGATTTTCTATGGGATTATGGTCTGGAGACTGGCGAGGCCACTCCAGGACCTTAATGTGCTTCTTCTTGAGCCACTTCTTTGTTGCCTTGGCCGTGTGTTTTGGGTCATTGTCATGCTGGAATACCCATCCACAACCCATTTTCAATGCCCTGGCTGAGGGAAGGAGGTTCTCACCCAAGATTTGACGATACATGGCCCCGTCCATTGTCCCTTTGATGCAGTGAAGTTGTCCTGTCCTCTTAGCAGTAAAACACCCCCAAAGCATAATGTTTCCACCTCCATGTTTGAGGGTGGGGATGGTGTTCTTGGGGTAATAGGCAGCATTCCTCCTCCTCCAAACACGGCGAGTTGAGTTGATGAGAAAGAGCTCCATTTTGGTCTCATCTGACCACAACACTTTCACCCAGTTGTCCTCTAAATCATTCAGATGTTCATTGGCAAACTTCAGACGGGCATGTATATGTGCTTTCTTGAGCAGGGGGACCTTGCGGGCGCTGCAGGATTTCAGTCCTTCACGGCGTAGTGTGTTACCAACTGTTTTCTTGGTGACTATGGTCCCTGCTGCCTTGATATCATTGACGAGATCCTCCCGTGTAGTTCTGGGCTGATTCCTCACCGTACTCATGATCATTGCAACTCCACGAGGTGAGATCTTGCATGGAGTCCCAGGCCGAGGGAGATTGACAGTTATTATGTGTTTCTTCCATTTGCGAATAATCGCACCAACTGTTGTCACCTTCTCACCAAGCTGCTTGGCGGTGGTCTTGTAGCCCATTCCAGCCTTGTGTAGGTCTACAATCTTGCCCCTGACATCCTTGGAGAGCTCTTTGGTCTTGGCCATGGTGGAGAGTTTGGAATCTTGATTGATTGCTTCTGTGAACAGGTGTCTTTTATACAGGTAACAAGCTGAGATTAGGAGCACTCCCTTTAAGAGTGTGCTCCTAATCTCAGCTCGTTACCTGTATAAAAGACACCTGGGAGCCAGAAATCTTTCTGATTGAGAGGGGGTCAAATACTTATTTCCTCATTAAAATGCAAATCAATTTATAACATTGTGTTTTTCTGTGTTTTTCTGGATTTTGCTGTTGTTATTCTGTCTCTCACTGTTCAAATAAACCTACCATTAAAATTATAGACTGATCATTTCTTTGTCAGTGGGCAAACGTACACAATCAGCAGGGGATTAAATACTTTTTTCCCTCACTGTATGTGGCACATTAGGAATGGATCACTCTTTTAATTATATCTTGCAGCAAGGTAATAAAGTGTGGTTCTGTGAAAGTCCTGATGTGCTGTGCAGTGCATCAATGCATGTGCGTACAGCAGCATGTGATGACTGAGTTGGGCCTGTAGGTGGCTGGCAGGGTTAATGAATAACCGCACGTGTAAACCAACCACATGTTTAATGGCGACTCGGAAGAAATGCTGTTGTAACACGTGCTGTTGCATTTTACAGGTAAAAGACCCAAAGGTTGTTTTTGATCGTCATATAAATGTTCTAGACTTGTTCTAGACTTGTTCTAGACTTTAAGCTTGGCTTTGAATTGTTTTTTTGTGATATATGCAATTAGAGGCGTTTTAGCATGGTGCATTGTAAAGGGATGACGCACTGTAATTACTTACTGTCATTGTAATTCTCTAACTCTAATACTGTTTAGTCTATAACAATGCCCATGTACCCAGAGTATGACTACTTGCAATGCTATTGAGAATAGAACACATGTAAAGTAGTAAGCTGTACAATGGTGACATACAGTACGTATACTGTACACATACAGTACATATAATGGGTGTAAGATACCGATACAAATGGATGGTATAGATAGACATACAGCTTTGGATTACAGGAACATTCGAATAGTGATGTGCAAATGTGATTGTCAAAGACGACAAAGATGGTTTATCAGTAGTAGAATTGGGTTTAAGAGAAAACTGTTATTGAATGACCGCGCGGATATACCAGTCACATGGTTAATGGCGACTCGGAAGAAATGCTGATGTAACACGTGCTGTTGCATTTTACAGAGTGACGGTGCTGTTCTTCACAAGATTGCTATTAACCACAATAAATGTGCTTGCTCTCGATTTGGAGCGCCTGCCCACGTCCCTCATTTCGAGTGTGCAACATATATATCCACGAATCTAATAGCATGTTCCAACTTTCAGTTTGACTACGATGTTCAATGTATTTATTGCACCCGGCACCCCTATTATGAATAAATATCGTGCTGTTGTGAGAGGACACAATTGTACCCTGTGCCAATGTTCAGTTAACATTATTCTGCTTCTTACATTTTTCCTGCACTTACTTTTGAGGCACACTGCACATTTCTCCAACTTGTATTCAACGTGTTCTCGTAATTTAACGAGAACTGTGAAATCCGTATTTTCCATTGCGGGTTCTGACCCCGAAGTGGACATTCCACATACCTATGGTAGAATACAGCTTACCAGATAAAAGCTGTGCAGGAATGCCCAATCCACAATCGTAAATGCTTGCTACGCGTTATGTTTTAGTGAGATGTCACGGGATTTTTACAAGTCAGGCCGCCAAGTACTCTACCTAAATTACACCCACTTTTATTGCAATATTCCCCTGTATACTGTACATACATATATAAAGATAAAAAAGATCCCCTGTATAGCCTTAACAGACTGTTGGGAGAAGTTCTGTTAGCGAGCACATATGAGGGCCGGCACAGCACACGAGGAGGTGGGTGGCCAACATCACTCCCGGCCACCTTTGTCTCCCCAGTGGCGATGTTCACACACTGCACCATGTACAAATGTTAGGCTGAGTCGACCTGAGGGAGGCCCAGGACCGGTGCAGATAATGGTCACTGGTGTTGGCCGTGAGCAGGAATCAAACTCGAGTCGTCAGGTTCGTAGACGCAGCGCGCTAACCCGTTACACTACCGCTTCCCACCACATATATATATTTGCACACAGCAACACATACAAATTTAATGTTCTCATTGTAACGATAATCTTAGAACGGATATTCTGGATCATGATAGAAAGGCTCGTGCAGTTGTTGTCACCTGTGCTGGATTTGACGGTGATGCTTTTCACCGTTTGCCTGAGCAGCTCGTACTGATTGGTGCGCGAGCCATCCTCGGCCACCACCACAGAGAGGTCTTCCCCCTTGTTCCACGTGTAGGTCACCTCCTGGTTGGTGTAGGCATCTGCAACGCGGTGTCAACACCGATCATTGCAACCGTATTACAGCAGGATGCACATGCATGATGTGCGTGCATAATGTGCATGCATAATGTATGTTGATTACCGTATGAATAACCCAACCGGTAATCCATTGTAATTTATATGCATGTATTCATCCGCCACCCTCCTCCTCTGACCTTCGCACCTGATTTGCCCACAAGTGACGACATCACATTTATCCCTCTATTTAAGACCGAAGCAGGAGGATTTCTCCACAAATCTCGCTGTCGCCTGACGATGCTAGTTGTAATTACTGGTGAAACGTCATGGTACTCGAATTGTAAATGTTGTGGGTTTATTCTCCAACAGACCGGTGTGCTGAACTAGTAACGAATTGGCATGCTGTGTTTACGTGACAAACCTCACTAATTTGCTGTGTTGGGTGGTGGCGGGTTTAATGACATTTATGCTATCTAACCCAAAAAACTCTGTTATGGATATTATGCATTACAGTTGATCATCAATTATCCAGCGCAAAATTATTCGGCTAGCCAACGTTATCCGACAGGTTCCCAGGAGGATCTGGCGAACCTCCATCGCAGCTGATGGAGTTGGATTCAGACTCTGAATAACCAAATACAATTTTACACCCGCCTATCATAACCCCGTGCAGAGTCTTCGAGATTGGAGTGGTAAGTACAGTCCAGTAAATACGGTAGCTGTTTACAGTAGGGTATTTATTTTTGTGTATTTGTTTGTTCATGCCAATTTCATCGAGTATTTTTTTTTAAAGAACTAAATAAAAAAACATATACAACACGTAAAAACATAATTGTATGCAAGAATGTGTAAAAATATATATACCGGCGTTTTTGAAAATCCGGCGCCCACTTCCCCCCGAAGCCGCCGGATTTTCGATGATCTACTGAAGTATTATTATACAGTGAAATATGCTCTTTAGTTTTGCCAGCGAATTAGCGCCCATATCTAACAGAGTGGGTCCTTGCCTATAATTATCTAGCAGTGCACTTGCATTGGTTTAAGCGAGCCTGACTGCTGGTGAGACACCGCACGTCAAAACTGGTCCAGAGTTGTATGTGTGTTAAACCGATTGTGCTGTAAAACAATGCACTCCCAGAAGGCTTTGTGGCTGATGGGATGTGTAAACTATATATTCTTAGGTTTTTTCGGTAAAGTCACGTAGGTAAAAAATTTAAATTAATAAAAGTAAAATGAAAATAAAATAAAAATCACGACGTTTCGGAGGCAACACAAGCTTCCGTCTTCAGCTGTATCAAGTAAGATATAATAAAAAAAACGACGTTTCGGAGGCAACACAAGCTTCCGTCTTCAGCTGTATCTTACTTGATACGAAACGTCGTGATTTTTATTTCATTTTTATTTTACTTTTATTAATTTTAATTTTTTACCTACGTGACTTTACCGAAAAAAACCTAAGAATATGAATCCTTGCAGTCACGAAAGCTTCAAATCTAAAGTGTAAACTATATGTCTATACTTTTATGTGGAGATACCGATATGGGAATGAGGCGTATTGTTATAGGTTACTGGGTAGCGTCATACTTGGCACACACCAATAATTCTAACTCTAACCCTAGCACCAATATTTATGCTTGTGTAATCACTTTTTTCTAGCCACCAGGCAAAGTGAAAGGTTTACCAAACGTGGGTACTAAACAGGCTGTACGATATGTGGACTAAACACGCATTTTAGAAATTGAGTCAGTACAAGTGATAGCAAAATGTATTCCAAATGCACAATTCCAATTGTAATATTAGTTGAATAGTGCCAATTGTGCAGTGGACACCTTTGTGTTGCTTATAATAAAGGTCATAGGACTGCATGGTGGTAAGATGTTAACTACCTCGCCTGATATACAGGAGACTGTGGGTTAATCCCGACCCTGACACCTGTATATTTGAAGTTTGCGTGTTCTTCCCCATGGTTGTCGATTTTTCTCCGGGTCCTCCGATTTTTTTTCCACATTTAGAAGCATGCCTTTAGACTAATTGGCTTTTATAAATGTCCACATGATGATTAGCCACTTCGTTCAGCTGTCATTGGCGGCCAGGTCGCTTCTGAAAAAGAGCTACATAGCTCAGTGGGCCTTACCTGCTAAAATAAAAATAATTAAAGTTTAGTTTGAATAAATCCTTTCGCAGCCTTCTCATTTTGCTTTACTTCTGTGCATTGAAAAAAAGCTGCACATTCAGCTTTTCCTTCTTGTTGAGAAAGCACGCAGTGTGCTTATTGAGTACACGCCCTCTGTTGGGCCAAGAAGGTATTGTAGATAATACCCATAATGCTATGCAACCTTAATTCAGTTTACCAGAGAGCTGCCACCTGTCTTGGCTTTCTCAGGATTGACCTCCGGTTGAGGCAAGCTGCTACAATTCCTAGTTTTGTGTCAGGTGTATAGTACAGTTGTACACAGTTCAAGATACTTGTATGTAGTTCTCTACACAACTTTATTGTGTAATTTTAGTGAGGGACTGTTTGTTTTGTTGTGATCTGGGATTGTTTTTGCTGTTGTTTTGCTGCTTTGCCTAAGCTTGGAATTGGTGTACTTATGCAATTTGAACTTATATACTTAATCTATTTTCCGAATTTATTGTTAGTGATTTGCTTACTTTTCATGTCTTTTGCACGTTTTTTTGTACTGTTTGTTTTTGTAACTTTGTGAACTGCGAGACATCTGTGAAAAAGAGCTTAATAGCTCATTGTATTTCTCCAGGATAAATAAAGATTCTGATCTTGTACCGCAATATGAGATATTCTTCTTTCCACAATATCTTTCAGATGTTTTCGACCTCCTTAGGCTGCAACTCTAGTACAGTACTGTACAATATATATTTTAGAGGCATGCATGACGAGTACTGTATTTGAGAGGAAATGGGTTGCTAAAAAACAAAATGTATCTTTTGTACAGGTAGGGACAGGGACGCAACTATTGGGTATGTGGCAGCGTTATGCGATGCATAGGGGCCCAGTCATCCACAAGGCGGCCCCGAAATTCTCGACTGATAGACTGGCATGAAAGCAAGACGCATATTAACTTATTGAGTATTGTACCTTTACATATTTTTTAAAATTAATATTATCAATGTGAGACTGTCATTCTCGAAACCAAATACACGATGAAACTAAATAATATATATATATAGTTATAGCCTACATATTGTTGTTTACGGTTTAAAACATCTGTAGCTATTTCAGTAAAAGTGAGTCGGGAGAAAGAAGGGAGATGGGGGGCACAGTCATATCTTCCATAGCCCCCCCGTTGAAATAGGTCGTTGCACCCCTGGGTTGGAGTCAGATTCCTTGGGTTAGAGTAGAGAATGTTTATGGGATATGTATATGCTGTGCTGTAGAAAAGCCTGATTAATTATGGCAATACCTACATTATCCCCAATCGGGACTTTGTCCTCATTATTCCCACCTATGTCATGTTTAATTATTTTAAATTATTTTTTTCTGCAGGAATAATAAATAGCGTAATGCGGGTTTCATGCCAAGATTCTTGTTTGTGAACACGGTTATCACTTTAAATTTATGAGGTTTGCAATCTCTCATGGAAATTCCGTGAGAATATATCGGAGCAATAACATTTAATGCTAAGTTTTCGCTTTAATCTGAATCACAATCATGACCCTGTGGTCGTCTTTGATGACGTGTAAGTGTACGTGTGCAGAAAGTGCATGTCTGCGCGTGTGTGTGTATGTGGGGGAACGGTAGTGTAGTGGTTAGCGCTCTGTGCTACGAATCCGGCGAGCCGACACCTGTGACGATTATCTAAACTACTCCTCGGCCTCCATCTAGATGGACTCGGCCTCAAATAAGTACCTGGTGCTGTGTAAAACATCGCCACTGGGGAGACAAAGGCGGTCGGGCGTGGTGCTGGCCACCCACCCCAATCGTGTACCTTACCGGCCTTCATAGGTGCTCACTAACAGCACTTGCCCAAAAAGTCTGTTATGACTATACGGAGGTCTTTGCTTGTCTTTGCGTACTTACGTAGGGATATGTGTCAGTGTGTGTGTGTGTGTAAGTATGCGTGTTCATGCTTGCTTACAGCTTCCGAACTTGAGGGGACAGGCATGCGAGTCCATTGGGAAGTCTTCCAGCATCATGGGGCACTCAGCCTTTATGGTCAACCTGAACACAGAGAAAAGAGCGTTTCACACATGCAAACGGTTACAGGCAATCTGTTTGAAGCGTACATCCCAGATCCAACCCTGCTGTCTAGCAGCATCCAAAAGCATTTGTAAAACTCCGACAACATTAAAGAATAAGCCGAAAGGAAACTGTCAATCAGAGACCATTGTGCTTTCAATGTCCTTTAACTGCCTGACAGCCAGTTTCCGTGTGGGGATTTGACAGCACACAGAGCAGGGTTTATACAAGTTTGTATAAAGTAAATAAACATTCTGTAGCAGACGTTACACATCACAAAATTGTGGCAGACATCTTGCTGGGTTTAATAAATGTGATGCTTCAGCAAATACATTGCTTACAATAACGTGAAACTTATTTAATTGCTGAGCGCGAACAGATGACAGCCTCACAAAAGACCACGGCCGCCTACATATAAAAGGTTGTTAATTGGTGTGGCTTTTCGAATCTTAGTTTGGCCTTCAGTCATACATTAAATTAGTGTTTGACTGAAAATGCTTCTCAATGTTTTTCAAATCCACGGCACAACCTTTGCAAAAAGTGACAAATGCACTACCTATGAGCCACACAACTGCCTTTGTGAACATTGGAGCCAGAATTAATCTTCGATCGTGTACGTCATTGCACTGCTCATAGTAAGCAGACGATTACAAGCCCCAGTAATGCCGGTTCAATTTACTCTTGTGACTATTTTTTATTTTGCCAGGTAAGGCCCGCTGAGCTATATAGCTCTTTTTCAGAAGCGACCTGGCCGCAAAATGATAGCTCAACGAGGTCGCTTTATGCCGTGGACATTTATTGCATCCAAATACTCTGAACCGAAATTCTGAAATATCTAAATAAATATCGAAATCTTAGAAATCATAATCCCAATCACGTTATTAGAAGACCAAAAATAAAACAGAATTATCATTTGTCATCCGTTATTGGCCAGATTCCTACGTGAAGGAATTTGTTTTAAAGGGGTTTTTCCACTCAAAACCATTTGTCATGGTATTTCAGCTTCATTCTTCGGTTGTCACTTGTCGTTGCATCTTCAGAGGGCACAGACGAATTCCAGCTCACTGCTCTTCTAGTAATCTTTGGGCCTTTCGATAAAGTCACATAGATAAAAAAAAATAATTAAAAAAATCACGACGTTTCGATATCAACACAAGCAATCGTCCTCAGGTGAAAAATATAGCTCTTCTAGTGTGCAATTGTGCAAGGGCACCATCAAATATTGAGCAGGAAATGATTGCGATCTAGCAGCAAAAACTGGAAAGTATATGATGTACATGAGTACCAGAGTCCTACCCCATTCACTGTGCAACTTTTATCAAAATCCAGACAAAAGTGAATTATTATTTCGATTTAAAGCTTTCGTGACTGCAGGGATTCATCTTCTTGGTTCTTTCGGTAAAGTCACGTAGAAGGAAAGTAATAAAATAATAAAAATAAAACATAATAAAATAAAATAATTCTCACGACGTTTCGGCTACAACGCAAGCAGCCGTCTTCAGGTGAAGAATGAGACACTACCAAGCTAGGAGCTTATATATAAGCTGCGTTGGAGGTGGAAGAGCGCCTTAACAAAAAGAATGTGCATATGAAGAGGAATTTAGCATATTCATGGAAAATGCGTAGGAGGTGGACGGGGGGGGTTTCAAAGTCATATTATGCCCATGCATTATGCAGGATTAGCAGCACCAAGGGGGGGTGCAGGGATTAGCAGTAACAAAGGAGAGAAATGTTAATGATATGTAGCTGCAGTTACTCAACAACCACGTAGAAAACTAAAGTATAAACTACATAAAAAACTAAAGTATAAACTGCATAGCACCATCAGTATACTTACTATACTCTACAATAAGCTGAGTTACTAACAGCAAGTAATACATTACAATTCTACGTCGTAAAAATTGTATAATATGCTTCCATCTAAACTTTATTCTCTTACGTCACACGAGCATATACCGTACTATATACTGCCATAGATAAACCCAACCTTAAATTATATACTGTATTGCTGTAAACCAACCTATACCTTATACATTTTAATATAACACTATGTATTATTCTACCCACCCTAATGTGTATCGAAATGGTTTATTACGTCCTTCCAATGATTGCTAAGCCAGAATCCATCTTCTCGGTTAAAATTGTTTCTGTGTTTGTATATGTGGATTGCCTCATGAACGAATCTCTCATGATAGCCAGATGGCTTGCAGATAACCTCTGTCTTGGAGAAGTCAATATCATGTGAGCCCACTGAGTTGTAACAGTGATCTGCCACGGCTGAGGTGTTTGTCCTACCGTGTTTCAGGTCAGCTTTATGTTCACGGATGCGGTCCGAAACATGTCGTTTGGTTTCCCCAATGTAACTGCTACCACAGAGGCAACTTAGTTTGTAGACGCCAGGGTACTGTATGTCTGGAACCACATCTTTTACAGACGGTACCAGATCACGGATTTTATGTACTGTGTTGAATCGGACCTGGATCTTGTGTTTAATCAGGATTTTGGAGATCTTTTTTGTGACCCCAGCAATGTAGGGTAAGGTGATGGTCTTGAAAGGCTCCTCAACAGGATTATTCTTGATTGTTGGAGTGATGGCTTTGCGGATTGTGTAGTCGGAGTAACCATTAGCCTTAAGAGCTTGGCGTACGTGTTTGAGTTCAGCATATACCGTACTATATACTGCCATAGTTCAAACACGTACGCCAAGCTCTTAAGGCTAATGGTTACTCCGACTACACAATCCGCAAAGCCATCACTCCAACCATCAAGAATGATCCTGTTGAGGAGCCTTTCAAGACCATCACCTTACCCTACATTGCTGGGGTCACAAAAAAGATCTCCAAAATCCTGATTAAACACAAGATCCAGGTCCGATTCAACACAGTACATAAAATCCGTGATCTGGTACCGTCTGTAAAAGATGTGGTTCCAGACATACAGTACCCTGGCGTCTACAAACTAAGTTGCCTCTGTTGTAGCAGTTACATTGGGGAAACCAAACGACATGTCTCGGACCGCATCCGTGAACATAAAGCTGACCTGAAACACGGTAGGACAAACACCTCAGCCGTGGCAGATCACTGTTACAACTCAGTGGGCTCACATGATATTGACTTCTCCAAGACAGAGGTTCTCTGCAAGCCATCTGGCTATCATGAGAGATTCGTTCATGAGGCGATCCACATATACAAACACAGAAACAATTTTAACCGAGAAGATGGATTCTGGCTTAGCAATCATTGGAAGGACGTAATAAACCATTTAGATACATATTAGGGTGGGTAGAATAATACATAGTGTTATATTAAAATGTATAAGGTATAGGTTGGTTTACAGCAATACAGTATATAATTTAAGGTTGGGTTTATCTATGGCAGTATATAGTACGGTATATGCTCGTGTGACGTAAGAGAATAAAGTTTAGATGGAAGCATATTATACAATTTTTACGACGTAGAATTGTAATGTATTACTTGCTGTTAGTAACTCAGCTTATTGTAGAGTATAGTAAGTATACTGATGGTGCTATGCAGTTTATACTTTAGTTTTTTATGTAGTTTATACTTTAGTTTTCTACGTGGTTGTTGAGTAACTGCAGCTACATATCATTAACATTTCTCTCCTTTGTTACTGCTAATCCCTGCACCCCCCCTTGGTGCTGCTAATCCTGCATAATGCATGGGCATAATATGACTTAGAAACCCCCCCGCCCACCTCCTACGCATTTTCCATGAATATGCTAAATTCCTCTTCATATGCACATTCTTTTTGTTAAGGCGCTCTTCCACCTCCAACGCAGCTTATATATAAGCTCCTAGCTTGGTAGTGTCTCATTCTTCACCTGAAGAAGGCTGCTTGCGTTGTAGCCGAAACGTCGTGAGAATTATTTTATTTTATTATGTTTTATTTTTATTATTTTATTACTTTCCTTCTACGTGACTTTACCGAAAGAACCAAGAAGATGAATTATTATTATTAAGTCTCCATCCAGAAAACTTGTAATGCATACAGGACATCTCTAAATTTAATATATATGTGCTGTTCAGAAAATCTTTTAACTGTTGTAAATATGCGAGATCTAATCTCAAGTAAACTCAGCCCATCATCGCTCAAGGGTTGGTGTATAGCCCAGACTGTGAGAGTTAACAAAGCATCAGACAGTGCCAAGTTCTACCAATACAAGCAACTAAGTGTCTCATCACGTGGAAATTCTTATGATCCAAATACTCGAAACGCTTGTTTCTAAATGTGGAGGGGAAAACCAGAAGACCTGGAGAAAAATCCATGTGACCACGGGGAGAGAGACATGCAAACTCCAAATATACAACCGCCAGGGTTGGGATCGAAGCCACGATCTCCTGTATACCAGGAAAGGCTGTTAATAATCTTATCACCGTGATGAGATGTTGGATATGCACATAATTGGCAACTAGAATTTTAAACTCGCCGTGGTTTCCTATAGGTTGCCTCAGCCCAAAAATAAGTATATGGAATGCTGGGTCACCATTAGGAATGGGTAGACATAGGCAACAGAAGGATACTCCATCTAAGCTGGACCCAAAGAGTGACCAATGTAACATTTAAATGTTGCACATAGAAGAAGATCTGATGCAGGCAGTTATTATAAGGAAACTAGCACTACTTGGACACATATGTAGGATGGACAACAACAGGGACATTAAAAGTGTTTTGTTGTTTGTAAAAATGGAAGTAACAGGAAAGAGAGGAACACCTAACATAGAATGGCTTGACGACGACATCATAAATTGGTTGCAGAAATATGTGGCCACAACTTGAGCATATCGGGCACAAGACAGAAGAAAGTGGACACAAATGACGAAATGCGCAGCAGACACATTACGGGCTTTCTACCCGTGGATCATGATGATGATGGAGACAAAGGCATGGTACTGGCTACATTGCCCACTCGCTGTGCTGCGTTGGCCTTAATAGGTGTGGGTTAACGGCATTTGACTGAACAA